CTGGAGTGCAATGGCGCGATCTCGGCTCACCGCAACCTCCGCCTCCTGGGTTCAGGCAATTCTCCTGCCTCAGCCTCCTGAGCAGCTGGGACTACAGGCACGCACCACCATGCCCAGCTAATTTTTTGTATTTTTAGTAGAGACGGGGTTTCACCATGTTGACCAGGATTGTCTCGATCTCTTGACCTCGTGATCCACCCGCCTCGGCCTCCCAAAGTGCTGGGATTACAGGCTTGAGCCACCGCGCCCGGCCAACATGTTTACTTTCACCAGGTCCAGAAACAAAAAATTAAAAGGAGATTCAATTGAAAATTTGAAGAATGTCCTTTTATCTCAAAGGAAGCAGAAAAAGTGGCTAAGATAGGACACTAAGTAGAGTGAAAAGACATTGCCTCAAATCTGAAGTCAAAACAAAGCTCTATTCAAACAGTATGCTTGGCTTCTGCAAGTCTACAGTTCTAGGTGGGCTATGTCCAAGAAGTCAACAATATTCTTCCATAAATATTCTGCCAAAATGTAGGCTCTGAAGAAAGCCCCAGGCTTTTCCCAACTGCAAAGGCTACTCGATGACTGTAGTGAGCCTGAGGGCTGGAATATAGCTCTGACTAGTTTCCCAAAGCCTCTATTCTGGCTGGAGAATTAAATGACAAGAATTAACTAAACCTAATTCCAATCCAGGTACATGTCTGGGGAATAGGGGTAGAGTTCCTAGTGGAAATATCTGCATAGAGCAGTCTCATTCCAGCCCAAACCCCAGGATTTTGCAGTTTGCAAAAATGTGCAGTTTGCATGTCTATTTCTTTTGGAAATACCTGGTATGAAATCATCTATTCTATGTGCCTCTTGCCTTCCCAGATACTCCTGCTTAAGCTCTTTTGTGCCTCCCTCCTTCATCCAGTTTGGCTCTAGGCCTTTTTCTTTCAACACTGTTAACTCTCTCTAGGAAATCTCATCCACTCCACAGCTTCAATTTGCTGAAAACACACAAATTTATAGAATGTATTATGTTCTCCAGAGAAACAGAAGCAATAAGATAGATGCAAAATCTCTTCTAATCGCCTATGTAGCCATTTCTTAGGCCTAATGGAACAAACTGAGATGAAATAAATGCCTGAAAATAACAGAAATGCATTCATTCATAGTTTCTCATAGTCTCTCATATATTGTTACTTATTATAAGGTACTGGCTGCTATGATTATGGAGGCTGAGAAATCCCACTATCTGCTGTCCGTAAACTGGATACCCAGGAAAGCTGGTGGTGCAGTTTGAAGGCCTGCCAACTGGAGAGCCAGTGATGTAGATTCAGACTGGGTCTGAAGACCTAAGAATCACCAGTGCTAACAGTGGAAGATCAATGTCTCTGCTCCAATACTCTGGACAAGTAAATTTGCCCTTCCTCTGCCTTTTTGTTCTACTGAAGCCCTCAATGGATTAAATGGTGCCCATCCACATAGGAGAAGGCTGTCTGCTTTACTCAACCCACCGATTCAAATGGTAATCTTCTTCAGAAACACCCTCACAGACAGACCCAGTAATGTTTATCCAGCTATCTATGTGGGTATCCCATGACCCAGCCAAGCTGACACATAAAATTAACGTTCACATATAATATCTCCAATCTAGACTTCCTTTTAATTTCGAGACCCTCATATTTAACTGTCTACTTGAACTCTCCTTGAATACCTTTAAAACTCCTCCATTTCTACATATCCCAGACTGAACTCCCCATTTCCCTGCAAGCCTTTCACATTCCCTACCTTTGTAAACAACACCAGTCTCCATCCAGTTTCACAGCCAGGAACTCAGGGCCCATCTTCACACCTCTGTATCCCTCACCTCCTATACTTAACCTGTTACCAAGTCCTTTATAACTTTTGAATCTGTCTTGTTCCCTCCACCATCACTATAACAGCTCAAGTCAAGAGACTTAGATGAGTGAAAAAATAATAAAAATGAATAATTATCAAAGGTTTATTATAAACCAGGCAGACATTCTTTTAAAGCTTTACATAAATCATCTCTTATAATCACCCTATGTATTATTTCTCTAGGGCTGACATAAAAATTACTACAAGCTAAATGACTTAAAATAGTAGAAATGTATTTTCTCCTAACTCTGAAGGCTAGAAGTCTGAAATCAAGGTGTCAGCAGGGCTGTGATCTTTTTGAAGGCTCTAGGAGAGGAACCTTCCTTGCCTCTTCTATCTCCTTGTGGTTCCAGGGATTCCTTAACTTGTGACTGTATCACTACACTCTCTGCCCTTGTCTTCATCTGGTCTTTTCCTCTGCATGTGTGGCTTCCTGTCTTCTGTTTCAAATCTTCTGCCTTTTTCTTATAAGGATGTTTGTCTTCATATTTAGAGTCCACCTATATAATCCAGATGATCACTTCATCTCAGGGTCTTTAACTTAGTTACATCTGCATTCACAGCTTCCAGGGATTAGGAAGTAGGTTTTTTTTAGGGGAGCAACATTTAACCCGTTACCCTTTATGAAGTAAGAATAGTTATTAGTCCCATTGGATAGATGGGGCAACTGAGACTTAAAGAGTGTAAGGGACTTGCCCAATATCACACAGTTAATAGGCTGTAGGGACTTGAGATTCACATATACTTTCAGAGGAACAATTTCAATATTCTTCTGAAAGGAGTAACAGTTTCAAGTTAAGTAATTCCTCCCTTGGATGTCAATTATTCCTTCCTCAATCTGTTCATTACGCTATTATTCTATACCACTAGGTATAGGATACACCAGCGTTTCCACCTATAGGAATCTACTTTATGGATAAATTTGTCACATCTGATGAAATTGTTCACTGCCACATCCTTTACAATAAAAGTTATTAGAAACATTCTTAATGCCCAGCAGTAGAAGATGGTTGAATCCATTATGGCACAACCACACAATGGTATATCATGTAGCCCTAGTAAGATAAGGCTTGTCAAAAATTAACACAGAAACAGAAAATCAAATACTTCATGTTCTCATTTATAAGAGGGATCTAAGCCTTGGGTACTCATGGACGTAAAGATGGGAACAATAGACGACCAGACGGAGGAGAGCAATGGTACTATGCTCACTACCTGGGTGACAGGATCAATCATACCCCAAACCTCAGCATCACAAAATATACTCAGATAACAAGCCTGCACATGTACCCCTGAATCTAAAAGTTTAAATTATAAATTAATAATAATAAATAAAATGAAACTTGTTTGTAGTTAATAATGGTATATTATATACTTGAAATTTACTGAGACTAGATCTTACGTGTCCTCACATACATACAAAAGAGGTTAATAGGGGAGGTGATGGACAGGACAATTAGTTTGACTGGGGAAATAATTTCTCAACATATACATATATCAGAACATCAAATCTTACATCTTAAATATATGCAATGTTTATCTGCCAATCATACCTCAATAAGGCTGGAAAAATTAAAAAATACAATTAGGCCTATATGCACTAGTATGGAAGAAATTAACTCAAGGTGCAGAACAGTGCATATAAAATGCGAGAAGTTTCTAAACAACACAAAGGAAACATATATATGCACTTTATATATATTTGAATATATAGAATATTCCTGGAAAGATGAGACAGAAATGTGTAACTGTCTTTGAGGAAAGAATTGTGAGACTGAGTAGAGGGAAGGAAAGAAGATTTAGTTTTCATTGTGAATTTTATTGTATTGTTTGAATTTATTTTGTGCTTGCATTACTTGAGAGAGAAAGAATACCCATGTGCTAGTTTTCACTGAATTTTCCAACTTGACCTCCAGCTGAGTCTCATCTTTCACCTAAGTCCTTGCTTCCCAGCTCACTGAGTATGTCCATGTTGAGTGTGTATACATGTGTGCACGCGCATATATCTAGTGTTCTATCATTCTGGATTCTCACGTTTTCTACATGTGTAAATCCTGCCTCTCAAAAACTTTTTTGGCGCAGCCTCCCTGGTTTTCAGTGTTGGAACCAACCACTCTTCCTCCACACTTAAAAAGCGGCTGTTCAACCTACTTTGAATTATGGTTGGTTATGCTTGCCAGTTGGTTACCCTCATTAAATTGACTCCTAAAGGGAAGTGTGCTTCTGGTTGGTCTCTATGCTCCCCAAGGTATCAGAAACAAAGCATTGCTGAATTCTTATCATTAACTGAAAAATATTAAGCATAAGAGCCATCTAGAAAAACTGAAGTTTTCTATGATGCCCAACTGTAAGAGGGCTAAAGGAAAATACCCCAAATACAGGAATTCTTAGCAAAAAATATCTAAAGGAACAAAGAAGATCCCCAAAGCTAAAAATTAATCCAATACTGTGCATCAAATTGGATTATTACAAGAGATGTAGGTGAAATACTTTACATTCTTGGTAGAGGTAAGAGAAGAAAAAAAAATGACGAGTTATAATTCAGGAAAAATAGCTCTTGACATTTTCATTTGTTTGCTTGTTTTTAGCCAAACAAAACCTAGTTGCAAAATAGACAAACAGTGATTTGATCATAAAGCAGGCTCCTTTTCAGACCGGGACTAACACCCACCTCTGCCTCTGTTGCCTCTCCCTGCAAGCACTAACCATTATCAATGCAACCCTCTCTGTTGCTTAATAACCACATTTTTGTGTGTGCAAAATTTCCCAAATCATATTATAAAATGACTGTCATTTATTTTTTGTTATTTACTTTTTACTATCATTTAAACCTATTTCCTCTTGTCCTTGTTGTTAAGGAGTATAAAGGGCCATATTACTCCATTTATTTAACTTTCACATATCCCAAAGCACTTCATAGTAATTCAGTGGTATATACCACTGAACCTTCTATAAACAGTAAAACCAGTTTTTAAAATGCTTCTAGCATATTGCTATTCTGCTCTAATCTCAGGAAATAGGCACACCTATGTCAGGCCTAACTCATTTCTGTTGGCCTTGTAATAACATATGGGAAAATAAATATACTAAAATAAAAATTAAAAGTGGCAACAATTAAAAGTTTAACTTACTGTTAATGCTATGTCATATTCTTCAGCAGCTAAGTGTGCTAAGCCCAAGTAGTAACAGGCTTCCCCTTCCATCTTTTTGTCACTTCCTGAAGTGAAAATGTAAAAAAAAAAATTACTAGGCATTAAAGAAATTGACTTATTACAATAAATAGAATCCTTGCTTTTCAAGACAGTAGAAAACTATTTTCAAAAGTATGCAGTTTTATTAATAATCTCCAAAACCTAGCTGTATACTGGGAAAAAAAGGACTGATGTAGATACAATTTACCTAGATCACAGATATTAGAGTAAGATGCATTAGCAGTATAATTTTGAGAGGTTTCCCTTTATAAACACAGGCCAATATTATCATTTTGACATTCATGTATAATTTTACACCAGTCCATCATGTAAAGGCCTACAGTCATCTGGCATAGCTGCTACTATATGCATAAAACAACTGATAATGTGTAACAACCTTAAATGGTACACAAACATTCATACTCAATCACATGGACTGACATTCAGCTAAGTTTCTAACTGCAGATAATTCACAAATTAATGAATTTTTATTTTGATTATGTTCTGTTTAAGAGCTATTGATTAAAGTGTAGGTGAGAGTAACAGAGCTTAGTTTCCTGGTACAAAATTCCATGTGTATTCTGAAATCCAAACACTTTACTAATCACTGGTAATGCTTTTCATCTTTTTTTTTTTTTGCAAGAAAGTTAGTCTTTTTAATTCCTGTGATATCTTACTTATTTCAGGAATTAACCACTTTTTTTCCAAGAGAAAAATGTGTAAAGTTATAATGTGGTTCCACGTGATATACCTCATGCCATCGGGCAAATATATAACTTGTTTATATTTAATATATTAAATGTATCATTGGCTTCTAATGTGACTAACTCCTGGCTAATGCAAATGCTGAGTGATCTAACCTTTATTTTTGGTCTTTGGAAAGTAAGTGATATGATTTTGACGTTTGTCCTCTCCAAATCTCATGTAGAAATGTTGATTTAAAATGGCATCTCTCTTGCTCCTTCCCTCGCCATATAACATGCCTGCTCCCCTTTGCCTTCTGCGGTGATTGGAAGCTTCCTGAAACCCCCACCAGGAGGAGATGCTGGCACCATGCTTCCTGTACAGTCCGTGGAGCTTTAAGTAAAAAATTAACCCCTTTTCTTCACAAAAATTACCCACCCTCAGATATTCCTTGGTAGCAATGCAAAATAGACTAATATAGTAAGTATCCTTAGATTTCTGAGCTCCACATTCCAACCATGAGGGATGTTAGCAGGAACAACATTTCATAATGCATTCATTCTCACCACTCACCAAATAACCACTGAAGCAGCTGCTCTTTGACGACTTCAAGAAAATAGGATGGCAAATGCCAGTGACAGTACTTTTTTCTTCTATAGCTAGTTTGCTGATTGCAGAGAATTATATCTTCAAGATCTCACTTTAGCTGAGTTGATGTTGCCAGTGATCCAGTAGGGGGAACTTTAACTCTTATAATTCAGCTGGGCCCTAACTTTTTCTCTGCTATAGGTTTACGGGTTCTGGGGCTAAAGGTGGGACTAGTGAAGGCAAAGACAGAATAGAAGAAAGAGGCTATGACAGGAAGCTACTTATTAGAGAGTTAAAAGCTGGCTGTATGTGGTATATATTTTCTGTGTCAAGTGGTAGAACTGTGTTAAAGCACTAGCAACTGGCTGGGTTGATATAGCACCATCATCTGAATCTCATTTTATGTGAGTGGAAGCTCAACAAAGAGGATAAAAGAAAGAAGACATCTATTGCTACTGATAGATTTTGAGGCAGCTAATCGAAACAGTTTAGAAACACCAAATATTAGTTTTTAAATAGTATTTAAGCACGAGAACTTTTCTCGTTCACTAATACAGACAAAGTTAAGATAAAGTGAAAGCAATCACATAACAGAAAAAAAATGTCAGTAAGAATGGGATTAACAACAACCAGAAAGAAAAGGTTAGATGTAAAATCTTGGCACTACTAAAATCGAATGACATGTTAAAACTTATATTTTAAGGAACAGAGACATAAAGAGAGAGAAAATAAATAATAAAGAATAACCATGTGGTAAGGTGTATGCTGACAAGTGTTCTGGGGGAAAATAGAGCAGGGTAAGGGGAATTGAGAGTGCCAAGCAGGGGTCCAGAGGACAAAGCAGGTTTCAATATTAACTATGGTTGTCAGAGTAGACACCATTGAAAAGGTGGTATTCACACTAAGGTGAAATTTAAAATGCATAATAGAAATAAATTTGGGAAACTTGCATCCATGTGGAAATTAAAAACACTCCTAAATAAACAATAGGTCAAAGAAGAACACAAGAAAAGCCAGAAAATACTCTGAGATGGATGAAAACGAAAGCACAACAAACCAAAATTTATGGGACAAAACTAAAGACGTGCATAGAGGGAGGGACATTTATAGATATAAATGTCTATATTTAAAAACAAGAAAGGTCTTTCTACCTTATAAAAGTAGAAAAAGAGGATACGACTCCCCTCAATTCAAACAGAGGGAAGGAAAGAGGAAAGACTAGAGTGGAAATGAATAAAATAGAAAATAGAAAAACCATAGTGAAAAACAACAAAACAAAACAAAAAATGATTATCTGAAAAAGTCAACAAAATTAACAAAGGTTTAGTTTGACCAAAGAAGAAAAAGAAGTATTCCTTAAATTATTAAAATCAAGAATGAAAAAAGGAAAATAACTACAGACCTTACAGAAATAAAAAAAGATTATAAGAGAATTTTGTGGACAATTATATACTAGTGAGTTAGATAAACTAAATGAAACAGATAAATTCATAGAAAGACACAAACTACTGAAATTGACTGAAGAAGAAATCAAAACTCTGAACAAATTCGTAACAAGCAAAGTAACTGAATTATTAATTTCAAAACTTCCCATGAAGAAAAGGCCAGCCAGGCTCAGATGACCTCACTCGTGAATTTTTAAAAAATATTTTAAGAATTAACACCAATCGTTTATAAATGTTTTAAAAAATTAAGAGAAAACACCACCCAAATTGTTCTATAAGGCCAGTATTATTTTGACATCAAACTAGATAAAGACATTACAAGAAAAGTATAAACTAATGTCTCCTATGAACATAGACAGAAAAATCCTTAACAAAATTACTCACAAAGAAAAATTCAGTAGCATATAAGAAGAATTATACACCACGATCAAGTGGAATTTAGCCCAGTGATGCAAGTTTTGGTTCAACATATGCTAATCAATCCATATAACATACCACATTCATATGATAAAAGACAAAGACACATGACCATCTCCATAGATGTATGAAAAAAGCATTTGGCAACATCCAACCCCCTTTCATGTTAAAAACCCTCAACAAACTTGGAATAGAAGGGAACTTTTTCAACATAGTAAAGGGCATCTACAAAAAAATCCTAGTATATATCATAATTCTGTTTAAAACTGTTGTGCTAGAGGTTCTAGTCACATAAATTAGGCAAGAGAAAGATAAGGCACACAGATAGAAAGGAAGCAGCAAAACTATATTTGCAGATAACATAATCTTGTGTATCCAGAATGCTAAAGAATCCGTAACAAACTATCAAAGCTAATAAATGAATTGAACAAGGCTGCAAACTATAAAATCAATATAGAAGTCAGTTTTATTTTTACTTATAGGTAAGGAACAATTTGAAAATGAAATTAAGAAACAACTCCATTTACAATAGCATCAAAAGCATAAAATATTAAAAATAAATTTAACAAAAGAAGGCAGGACATGTACACTAACTATAAAATGTCACTGAAAGAAATTAAAGAATATTTAAATAAATGGACAGATATCCCATTGAATATGGATTGAAAAACATAGTGTTAAGATGGCAATGTTCCCCAAATTGATTGACAGATTCAGTGCAATTCCTACCAAAATTCCAGCTTCCCTTTTTGTAGAAATTGACAGGCTGATCCTAAAATGTATGTGGAAATGCAAGTGATGAGAACAGCCAAAGCAAACTTGACAAAGAACAACACTACAAGACATATTTCCCCATTTCAAAACTTACTACAAAACTAGAGTAATAAAATCTATATATTACTGTAGTTGTAGGTTAGACAAGAAAGATCAAGACAATAGCATTGAGAATCCAGAAAACAACTTTCACACATATGATCAAATGATTTTATATAAGATGTCATGACAATTTATTGAGAAAAGAATAATGTTTTCAGCAAGTAGTACGAGTGCAAGTGGATATCCACTTTCAAAATATGAAGTTGTACCCTCCTCACACCACATATGCATGCATGTGAGTGCACACACACACACTTCAAAATAGATCATGAGCTTAAAATAGTTAAAACTATAAAACTCTTAAAGCATAGAAGTAAATCACTGTGACATTGGATTGGTAAGCCTTCTTAGTTAAAACATCAAAAGCAAGAATAGCAAAAGAAAAACTAGACAAATTGAGCTTTATCAAAATTAAAAGCTTGTGCTTCAATGAATACCATCAGAAAGGGAAAATAAACCCACAGGAGAAAATATTTTCAAATCATATGTCTGATGAAAGGCTTGTATATAAAATATATACAGAATTTTAAACACTTAATAATAAAAAAAAATAATTAAAACAGGGCAAAGAATCTGAATAAAAATTTCTGCAGAGAAGATATACAAATGGCCAAGAAGCACATGAAAAAATGCTCAATGTTACCGGCCAACAGGGAAATGCAAATCAAATCCACAGTGAGATGCCATATTACACCGACTAGGATGAGTATAATGAAGAAGATGAAAGTAACGAGTACTGGTGAGGAAGTGGCTAAACTGAAACCCTCGCATATTACTAGTGGAAATATCAAATGGTGAAGTCACTTTGGAAAACTGACAGTTCCTCAATAAATTGAACACAGTTATCATACAACCCAGCAATGCCACTCCTAGGCATATAATTAAGACCTTTGAAAAGTTGTATACAAATGTTCATTCTAGCATTATTCATAATGGGCAAAAGGTGGAAACAATTCATATGTCCATCAACTGATGACTGAATAAAGAAAATGTGGTACAACCATGCAATGGAATGTGTTTGGCCCTATATGGTAGATGAACTTGAAAACCTGTTAAGTAAAAGATGTTGGCTGATGCTACACTTGTGCCTTACACCAATGTACCCTGGCAAAAGAGTTGGTCAACAGTGGGTGTCGTACCCCTTAAATACTATGTAAACCAACTTTTTGGTAAGTGAGAGATGCTTTTTGAAAGAAGACCACTTGACAGGCTCTGGCCATTGGAAGAGACCCAGGAACTTTCTCTCTTTGTGAACTACCTTAAAACTTAGCAAATGTGAACCTAAAATAAAATATCTCTTCCCAATCAATGCATTCCTTTTCATTGAAATTCCATGTAACTTTCCATGTGACTAAAGTTTGCTGCTGAAATTGATCTAAGAGCTAACTATGTGTTTACCCCTTTGGGGGAAGATACTAGACAACCATTTATTCAAAAGCAGTTCATTTAATGAGATACATCTTTCAGGGGATGATTTTCTATGAGTAGGTTGACTAATATTATTAAAAGAAGTTACGGAGAGACTAAGATGTTTATTTTTACTCTTTAGAAAATTAAAATCACACCCAGAAAATCAGTCCAGCTCACTCTAAATAAGCCATCTATTATTTAATAAACCAATCAATTAAATATATCCATGAGCTAATAAACTTTAGTTCAGGGGCATAACTTCTATCTTTTTCCTCCTTCATGAAAGGGCTACTCCATTAATAAATTACTATATGGTAACAAAATATCCTTGCATTTCACAAATTAAAAGCTTATAAGAATATGCTCCAATTTTTTTCTTTATCTTTTATACATACACAAATGATACAGACTATTAAAGATATGAGCAGCTCTCATAGAACCATTTTTACTGCTTTAAGTGTGTGTATGCATCACCTGGGGATCTTGCTAACCTGAGGATCCTGCCACAGTAGGTCTGGAGTGGGACCTGAGACCCTGGCTGTTATAACATGCTTCTTGGCCATGCTGATGCTTATGGTCCAAAGGCCACATTTTGAGAGGTAAGGGTCTAAAATACATTTCAGTCCTATTTTCCTGTTACTAATAACTAGATGTGTATCCTATTTTCCCTATTACCTGGCAATGGGGAATTTCAAACAATGAAAGGTCTCTAAGACTGCAAGGAATATGCAACCACATACACACATGCACATGCACACACACACACTTAACTTTGGCAGATAATCTTACCTTCTCACTTTAGATTCCTTGTTTTACAACACTACCCCCAGTGAATTGTAATTTTGGAGATAAAGCTTTCAAGAAATTAATGGATTTCTTGTTGTCAGCACTAAGGCACCTCTGTTTTACAGTGAAATTTGAAAGTAAATTGATGGCATTTGTCTTTGCATTTCATAGGAAATAATCACCCTAACACTTGACGATTTTTACTTCACTCTTGGGAGAACCAGTGTTTACCCATTAAAGAAAGCAACGTGAGAGAGTTCTTTTCCACCCACCTTCTTTGGCTATTTCAGAAGCTTTTATTAGAATTTTGATGGCCTGTTTGTATTCTTTATTTTCCAACATTTTGTCTGAGAGTAATCTGTAAGTCCTCAGGAGACTCTCACAGGCCAACAAGTTGAGAAAGCAGCCTGTCTCATCCTTCCATATCCGTCCCTGAGTCAATTGATGGAATGCTTCATAATGCTCAGCAGCTTCCAGAAGCTGACCTGAAGAATAAAAGCCATTCATAAATATAAACCACAGGTCAGAACATATTTTCAGAAATTTTGCATACATTTTAGCTTTACTATTAAGTGGAGAAACACTATGGAGAATGATTTCTAAGGCTGAAGATGAATTAAACTAGGAAAGGAGCTATCTCTAATTGGACCTCAGTTTCAGCATGAATTCTGGCTAGTAGAAATGTACCGGGATTGCATATGTTTAGAGGGTGTGTAAAGGGCCAGCAATAATTATTAATAGCAACCATATTTGCTAATATTTATTTAACATTTTGCATGTCATGTACTCTGCTGTATGCTTTATATTCATTTCTCATTTAATGCTCAGAACAATCCAATGGAGTGGGACTGTTCTGATTTCATATTATGGAATAGAAAGCCAAAGCTTGGTAAGGTTAAGAATTTTGCACAAGATGGAAAGTCTAGGGCTGTAATATCCAGGAAATCTGACTTCAGAGCTGATACTCTCAACCAATATCCTCTACTGGTTTCCCAATAGATGGCGATTTCATCATTTTTTTTTTTCTTTCTGAGGCAGGGTCTCACTCTGTTATTAATGCTGGAGAGCAGTGGTGCAATCACAGCTTACTGAAGCCTTGAACTCCTCCTGAGCTGAAGGGATCCTCCCACCTCAACCTCCCAATTTCATCATTCTTAAGAATGAATGTATCTGTTACAAACTCCAAATTCAAATACTATGTATGGCTCCTTAAACAGCTTCTGAAAGTTTAACTGAACTTTCCAACAAAATTTTTGCGTATGCTGTTTAGTTTTGGATAATTAGAATGTAACTAATTGCGTTTCTGGATTTTATCCTGTAATAAAATCCAACATATATCTTCTCCAAGCTAACACTCTAAATTAGCTTTAAGTAATTTCTTTCCTTAAACTATGAGCAAACATATTTCTAAAAGAGTAGTTTGCAGCTCCATACAGCGGATTGTGTTTTACTTGTTAATTGCCTCATGGGAATGCTAACAATATCCTAAAATGTAAACACTCTTTTATGGCACTGGAGTTACATAATGGGAATTGATGAGAAGAACACTTACATCTAGGCACTCCAACCATAGTGGTTAAGAGTGAGTGTGGTCTCCAGGCAGACACCCTGTTCCTATCCCAGCTTTCCCAGTTTTTGTTTAGCCTCAGGTTAATTACAGCCCTCTCTGTGCCTTACTTTATTCTTCTTCAAGATAGGATTACTGTGTAACTATTTGAGCTACTCTTGTGAGAAATGAATTCATGTATGTTCAATTATATGTTACAGAGTAGGTGCTCAATAAACACAGCTAATGTTATCAGTTGCTACAGTAATAATATCTTCAGAAATTCCAACCAGCAAATTGAAATATAGCCACCAATTTATTACATTTATTAAGTATAACTTACTCTTCCCACAAAAAACAAAAATTAGTTGAGTCCCTCTAACAATAGTATCATGATATATTAAATTAACCTATGCAGTTTACATTAAACTCAATATCTTTCCACAAATGAATTTCTTTGAATAGTGTGGGTTGGAGCTGCTTCTGTGACTATTGCATATCATTTCTTTCTATTACTTGCATCGAATTTGTTACCAGAATTAGTATCAAATAATGCACACAGAAATAAGAATGGTATTCTCAAAGAAAAACAAGCAGTGGTGGCGGATAATCGGTATACAGACTGTAAAAAAAATTCAGTAGACATGGACAGTCTAAATCCTTGCTGAGCTATACAGGTGAGCATGTCAGCAAAGATACACACAGAAAGGGCAATGTGTACTGCAGACTTGTTCATAAATTTGTATTATGAAACTTTCACATGATAGGAGACTGCAGGCCATAAGTATGATATTATAGAACCCTGTCTCATTATATGAACAAGTGTTTATAATAAGTAAATATATGAGGAAACATAAAAAAATTAGAAAGCATTGTCAATGTTAGATCTCAGAGGTAGGATGATGGGTAATAGCTGGTTTCTTTTCTGATTTTCTTTTTCTTGATTTTTTTTTCTGTTTGCTTATTAGCATTTCCTAAAGTTTCTATCATCAAAATGTGTTTGTCGTAAGAATATACAATGAAAGTTATTTAAGAAATATTGCTCAATCCATTTTTCACATTGATACAAATATGCAAGGTTGAAGTTCATGGCTCTAATCTATCTTTACTTTTAGCTGACATTTTTTTCTTACCTTCCAGAAAAACAGGCATAGTTTTTCATCTCTCTCATGTAGCACCTCTTGCCAGAAACACCTTGCTCCAAATACCCATGATCCTCATTTTTAAAAACTAGAATGGAGCATTGACATATATGTGTGTTATATTTCCTCTGTTAACTATATTTCTGCCTATGAAGTATAGCACTGTATCCCTGGAAAGATGTATATGAGAGTTCCTTTTCTTTTTTCATCTAGTGTTCATCTATTCATAAAGTACAGACACATATTTCTTTTTGGCCATGTAAGTAGGGAAAGGGAGATATAGAATACTGTGAGAAAAACAGATAGTTCTAGAATAGATAGGGATCATAAAGGAAATGAAGCCCTGGATAATTCAATTAGAATTAGATGCAAATGATGTATAATGATGTAAATAGCAAATGAGAACTGATATCCATCTTCAAAATTTGATCTATATGGGGAGAGAAAGGGGAGGTAGGGGAGGGTCAAGTAGGAAAAGGAGAAGCAGAAGAAATCAGGACGAAATGGGAGGAGGGAAAAGTGGAGGGAAGGCTGGGGCTGGGTCTTCAGCCAGACATCCTCTGTGTTACATTACTGAGTCTTGGGTTGCTGTTAAGTGTCCTGGATAAGGCTATCCAAGCAGGAATGAAGTGAGGATGGTCCTCAGGACACTGATTTCAGCTGGTGACTACAGAAGGCAACCTTGGGATGGTTAGAAATAACAGTAGTCTTTTTGGTTGGATTTGCTTTCTGCTAGAGCTTTGAGGGCTAGTATCAATGTACTACTTAGCTCATGGTTCTTGGCCAAAGTTCAGCTCTCAGAAGGGTCTATTTGGAGTCTTCCCTGAGGAAGAAGCCTGAGATGCTGGGGTAAAAGAGAACAGGGACCTACTTTTTCCTGAAGGCCTACCAGGTGCTAGTCAAAATGCAAGACTTCTCTCTCCTCTATGCGTTAACTTATTGAACATTCCAAAAACTGTGAAGTATATATGATTGTTGTTTTTTCACTAAAGAAAAACCTGAGACTCACAAGTTTACATGACTCAAATATATGCCCCAGATTTATCATAAATGATGATTAGGATTTAAACCCAAGGTCACCAAAAGCCCACGCAACGGGTTCCACCACATCAGATGCTAGTCAACAAATCAGAGTCAGGAAACTTAGGTGGAGTGAGTTAAATTCTCTGGACATGGATCTCTTGTGTTAAAAATAATGATCAAATTACATGATTGTTGGTATCTTCTAATAATTCTCCGACTCTGCTCAGGTCATCACAGGTCACCTCTATGAAAAGCACAGATGTGAGCCCTTGATGTGCTTCTGATTGGTCTTTCTGAAGAAGCTGTTGTACAGCTAGGTATATCTGAATTCCCTGCTCTCTTCTAAGCCATGTGGTGACATCTGTGGGGGGTCCTGGAACTCCATGGGTACCCGAGACTCAGTCACCTGCGGCCTCATCTCACTATTCATGGTTTCACTTCCCCTTTCTGTACCACTTTCCCACAAAAAACGTCATGGGGTCCTGATTAGTATTATTTTAAATGGAGGTTCCTACTACACAGAAGCAGTTTTCCAGTCCTTCTCATAAGTAAGGATTCATTTCTACAGGTACTTGGTGGCAGTAAATAAGCCAGCAAGCAAATAAACCAGCAAGGATTTGACCCAAATGACCACAAGCACACAAATGATTTTTCTGCAATTTCTAAAGGCTGGCCAGAATTTAAAGCACATATTATGATATAGTAGCATGTCTGATTTAAAAATATTTAAAGATATGCCTATGCTATGAAGAGAGCATCATAATTTAAATATGCAAGCATTTTCCTTTAAGCATGATTAACAATGATATGATTTCCATCCAATTTCTATTTTCAACTGTGAATTGGATTTTTAAAATTGCCTTATTTTCTGAGTAAAGGTTCTAATATTAATTCAGACTAGACATTTATTAAGATATAATGCATACTGCTTTTAACTGAAAATTTTAAATTCAATTTACCTGAGAGAAATGTTGTAAAAGACCTCAATATGGTGATCATTTTGACTAAGCTAAATACAAATATCAATGTAAATAATGAATCAGATTTTCTAACATGGCTCATAGCATCCCTTTATAACATCTACAAAGTGTTCATATTTAGTCTATCTTTTGGCACCAAATAAACTTTAACATAGACATAGACATAGACATCCAGAACTCTGATGTCAATCTTTTAAAAGGACAAGTGTTTAAGTGTCCAAGGACTGTCCTCCTCTGGAATTATCAAGTGTTGACATTATTTTCCATCAAGGAATAGGGACAGCAAAAAGAGAAATAATTTTACCAAGGTATCACAAAGATAAAAGTTAACAGAAAACAGGACAAAGAAAGAAGTCCTGGGGACTATTCACAGCTATTAAAGTCTTTGTAGGGAAAAGTGAGTTTTATCATGGTGCACCAGGAATCACCAGCAAATCTTCATCATCACTGCGAGTAGCCAGATCACAGTGGTATCCACAGTAAGGAAGACATACTAACTGCTGAACTAAATGCCTGGCATGCATGGTGCTGTACCAAGCAAAAGTCTAGATAGTCCACCAACATTTCAGGTGAACCAGGGAAGAAAATAGAGCCGAAATGTTTTGTTGGAGACTGGGGATGGCCCTCCACAAATACCCTTAGTGATCAATTTATTTCAATAATATAAAGTAGGATCAGAAAACACATCTTAGGAGAATTCTGGGAACAACTGCATCAAACAACAGTATCCAGGTATGAATAGAAGGGTCCTACGCTCCAGTTTTCTTTAGTTTTAATAATTATATGACATCTAC